AGTACACGAATTGTCAATGATTACTAGTAGTATTCAACAATGAGGTTTTTAATGTATTGACTTTAAAATATTGTGAAGATAGCAAAGGATTTTTAAAGTAATATTTAATGAAAGTAATTCTGTTTTTAAGAAGCTTAAAAGATTTTTTACAAACTATTAGTTATTTTATTAAGGACATTAAATAACTTTCAGAAATATTTTCTAAGTTTTAAGCTAATGTGATGGGGGAATAAATAGTACATCACATGACTTTATAAAAAGCAAGCTTAAAAAATGTAAATGGACTTGAAATTTTAGCATCTGAATAATTTTTGAATAACTGAAATGGGAAAAAAATACAGAAACAACAAAAACAAAAAGACCCTATCATTAAGTGGTCCATCTTGTGGAAATAAATGGTAACTACAAGTCTAATTTAAGACTACAGGTCACATTGGTGGTAGAGGCAAAGTTCTTCAATAGCAAATTCTAGTCCAAAAGTATGAAATCCCAAAAGAACTTTTAAAATTACTAGACCCACATTTCTAGTACCCATTACTCAAGTTCTTTTCCAGAGACCTTATCTGAAGTTTAATCTCTTTCATCTGAGAACATCTTAGAAGATGTTCAATATAACTAAACATAAAAAATCCAGCTGTATATGTGAAAGTTTTCAAAAAGCTAATTCCTATAAGTTATACATGATCATATTTCTCTGTATATCTATTGGTAATGTCTAAACACAACTGTAAACTGCCTTAAAAATATAAACAAGAATCCCTAAAATTATATTTTCTTGGTAAGCAATGGGAGAGAAATCTGGATATGGTGTACATGCTAATAATTTGATTTTAAAGTTGCCAACATGTTAGTATATATTCTTTGTGCATTATACTTTTTAAATGCAGTTTATTAGCCTTCTTTAAACATGCACACACTGAACATATTACTATACTGGCCTCCACCACCAGTTTGATCCCTGTTCCCACCTAGCCTGCCTCTTGGTGGGCATGTCTGGTATGGCACAAAGCATGATTTCAGGAACCACTTGCTTGCTATCTTGCTCTAATTTTTACAATCCATATTAGATTTGTTTGCTAACATTAATTTATTGGTGTGTTATTTTGCTCAAAATTCTACTTTAGTTGTTTATTCACAGCATTTTCTATGCTTACTTCAACTTTTGATTAACTATGTTAAACACTTATATAAATAAGTATGCATTCATGTACAGTAAGTGTGACCAGGTAAATGTTAACCGGTAATGAAGATAAAATGGCTGAAGAACTACCTCCAGCAACTGGAGCTCCACACTAAGCACTGAACTCAAAGTTGGCAGAATTTGTGACTTTACAATGAAATTCTGATGTGGAATTAAAGGCTATGTGGAAAGCATACATTTTACTATGAGTTTGATGGATATGCTGGCCTTTTAAATTGGTGTCGGGTGTTTATGGCTTCAGGATTTCTTGGTATTTAGATCACTGTTATAATTGCTGTGAAATTTAGATTCCTACCTAGCTATACTAATCTAATCTTTTTTTCTCTTTCATGTCCTTTCCATGTGTATTTCGGGAGAGTTACTACACTGCAGCTCTATTTGGTTGAGAATGTGGTAAACGTACACTAACATGGTGTTAGGTTGTAATTCAGGTAAGATATGCAAGTCATTAACTACAATGATCATTTATTTTTAATGTAATAGAAAAGTCAACAATTTTTAGTCTTATTGATTAATTACCAACTTTGCTCATGAAAAATTGATTTAAATCACTACTTCTGTTAAACAATAAGATAAACTGGGGAAAATTACAATGAAGAACGGAGAGATGTAATCTTTAAAATTTTCCCTCTAAACTTGCAATATGTAAACTACAACCTACAGACCAAATCTGGTCAGCTTTTTTTAAAAAAATTTTAATGACCTGCAAGCAAAGAATGGTTCTTATATTTCTAAGTGGTTACATTTGAAGTGTCATAAATTTGCCTTTTGGCCCACAAAGTCTAAAACATACACTATGTGGCCTTTTAAGACGTCTGCCAACTCCTGCTCTAAACTTAAAAAAAAAAATGTATAGTAGAAAATTTTAGAAATGAATCACCCAAGACAATTAAAATACCTAAAAGTTATATAAGCCTAAAAGATTTTAACATCAAATCTATTCCAAATCTCAATACTCATTATAATTTCATACTGAAAAATAGTCATCTGACTTATATAAAATGCACTGTCAAATTAGGTAAAACATAAAGAAAGCCTTATCAATATTAAAGGCAAATGTTTCAATAATCTGACATCCCACTCCTCAAATCTTTTTACTTAAAATTATTGCTATCACAGTACAAGCTAAACGTATATTATCTAAAGTTCGAGGTGGTATATAATATATTGATCTCACTCAATGTATCTGTATTCCTGAAAAAATGTTGACTTATTTTCCTCCTGATGTTATTTCAGACAATTTCCATGGGTCTAAGAAAATAAAAACTAACCAATACAAAGACATCAACATGTTAGCAAAACAGTCCATGTAGGCGATTTTTGTTTTCACAATTCCTTCAAGGGTTCAACAAAATGGAAATTCATATGAATCTACATGACTTTAAAGCACTTATCTCCTCATTTTTAAGTATGAGGAAGGGGCTCATTCTTAGCTGTGCGTCTAGAGTAAATTCAGTGCAATGCATGTCATGTCTCATTAATTGCAATGAAAATACTGACACACAGGACTTGAATGCTTCAGGAGACACACTGGCTGTCTAACTTAGTAAATCCCTATTGGAAAGGCTATGTCGTTTGTTCCTTTATTACTCTTTTAGGTTCTGAAAATTGTGATGAATGAAGCAGTTAATGTTCTTGGCTCCTACAGAAGTTTCTGGAGTAGGTTTGGGGAAGAGGGGCAAAAATAAAGACTTCGGATTCCAAAAACTGCCATATGATAGAGTAATATTAGCTTTACTAGGATGGTGACAGAAGTTCTTTCTGAAGAATTGCCATTTAATTGGAGACATGAAGGACAGCAAGTCTTCCTAGAAAAGTGAAATCACATGAACAAAAGATTCAGAGGAATAAGATTGTTCAAGCCAGGATGCCTAAAGCATACTGAACAAAAGAGGAGAAAAAAAAAAATAAAAGAGGAACAAAAGGAAATTGTTTGAGAGGTGAGATCTTATTTGAACTGTCCATTAGCTACAATAGATAATATTCTGATGTTTAATGTGACGGTCAGGACTTTTATACTGTTATACATCAGTATAACAGTATGAACATCAGTATAACAGTATAAACATCAGTATAACAGTATACAGTTGTTGTGAAACATCAACACAAGACATGGCTATTACATGGGACTGAATGATATTACCTAAAGAGAAAGTATAGAGGAACAAAGAAACAGACTAGACATGACATGACTAGACTAGACCTGAGGCCCACATGAAGAGTAAAGACAAGCTGGGAAAGAGACTAGAGGATTTTAAGTGTGAAATACCACAGAGAGGCTAAGACAGAGATTGGGTCTGGTAATATAAATGGTGGTTTCGATAAAAGTGGATTCAATGAAGTAGTGTGCAGAAGCTTGGACTGAGGGAAGGTAAGGAGCAAACAGGAAGTGATTGAGACAGTACTAACTACAGTTATTTTGATATGCATTCAGTGAAGGTGAGTCAAGAATTACATGGGAAAGGCACAAGAGGAGAATTTGATGTTCAAGGGAGGGCCTTATTTACTTATTTAATAAACATGGGCTATATAAATGAGGAGAGGAGAGGAGAGGAAAAATCAATGCTAATGCGATTCAGAGCTCCAGTGAGCAGACTGTCCTTAAAGAGGCAAATATTCCATTAGAACAAAGAAGAAACCAATTTTTCTGATTTCGTTATTGATGCAAGCAAGTAACATTTCAATTTTAGGGTAAAATGAGGAAATTATGAGGTGAGACCCTCAGTTGAAAAATAAAGAATGAACCCATTTTGTCCCATTGTCCCAGGTGTGGAACACCTGTAAAAACTTATCAAAGAATTATATAATATTAGGTAAAATAACATAATGATATAATACTTATATTAATAAATAAGCTCTATATTATGTTTATAACCATTTTTAATGCACTTGTGTCAATTTTGTTGAGCTATTTGCACAATTGAAAACCTGGGACTTAGTGGGTTATTTTATATAAAATACTCTGGAATAGTAAAGCCAATAAAACAGGGCAGTAAAGACTGTTGAGCAGTGCTGTGTGCCATTTGAAATGTGTGAACATAAATTTAAAGCTTGATGGCACAATTTTTTCCAGTGTTGTTCAGCTCATAGAATAAAAGTTTTGAATTATTAGGTAACATTGACAGGAGAAAGGTCAAGAGAATATTATTTTGGAATCTAAAATGGGTAAGGAAGGAAGAACAAACAAGAAGGGTAACAAGAAGAGAGAAAAAGTGGTAGAGTAGATGGCCTGGGATCATTCTAGAAAATAAGCTGGAAAGACAAAAAGTTTGGGGCGATAAGAACATTAGAAAGTGAGGGTCATATTCTGTTGGTAATGCAGAGAGGTCCGTCGGGAAGAAGTATGAGCTTGGAATGGCTCACATATACAGTGGGAATAAGTGTAACATGATTTAGGGAGTCTTGATTTGACTGTGAGTTAAACTGGTTAAGTCATGCATGAAGGGATTCGTTCTGAAGTCTCACAGGAATATGGAGTAACAAGTTGAGTAGTATTTAATATTATAGCAGAGATGTCACTCTCTCTTGAAATAGAAATCCCACTACCCTATCCATAAATCTTAGTTAATGCCAGTATTGAATGAGCGAAGATGAAAGGGTTTTGTTTTTAGCTTATGTCGACTAAGAAGCCACTTTTACCATCATATTTACATAATGGTATTCAAACACTCTGCTACCTTAAATATGCAAGGGACAATAAAAGCTGCTTATATTATTATATTTCAGTCATCTGATTAGAGGAGGATATTTTGTTTGATCCAATGATAATAAAAGAGAAAATAAAGATAATCTCATAATATTTATGCAACTGAAATAGGCATTTATTTCATTGTAATATATGAAAGCAAATCAATGTGTACTCGTTTTGAAAAAATAATCTAGCAAAATAGTACTATATCAGGACCTTAAAAATGACCTGCCAAATAGCCTTCTTATGAGTTGATTTCTATGCTGAATTAAAATATTTAGATAATACAGTTATAATTTTAGGCATTTAGTGCCTTCTAATACATTGAAGCCAAAACTGAATGAAACAGTGAGCTGAAAGTAATGGTTTACTAAGGTGAACATTTTAAATTGTGGACTTCCTTCTCTATTAAGTGTGCCTAAATTTTTATTAATTGAATATTCTGAACTATTAAACAAATTTAATAATGTACTTTAGTTCAAATGGTATTAATTTTACAATGCATTTTACATAATAAAATTTATTAAATTAACTTTTAAGTATAGTAAACTAGTGTAAATTCCTTTTACTATTTGGTTTCCCAAAACCTCCCCTCTCTAAAACAGAAAAAGTATTATTGTGTAGACAAAAGTCTTTAGGGCTTGGAGTCCAGTTACAGTGTTTCTCATCCATAAGGAGGGATTTCTTTGAATTTGGGGGTTCCTCCAAAGGAACACTTGACTAGGTGACATGCAGTTTTTTTCTTTGTAGGACTAATCTATTGTTTCCTTAGTTACATACAAAAGATAATTAGATAAAACATGTGATAGCAATTAAGATTTCACACATTAATATTTCTTTCATGGGCCATGAATAATGACATCAGTCCTCTCCGTACATTAAGAAGTTCCTCTTCTTGCTATGACCAAGAAAAAAAATCATGGATTTTACATTATCACATAAAATAGGAAAAAACAAACAAACCTGTTTTTAGGTATTCATTATAAAACAACCCCTTTCATAAAGATATTGTGTATCAGTGTTCATTTGATCTAATTCACCAGAATCTGTATCAAGATATCCATAGAATTCTGTGATTATCAGTAATATCCAAGATGATAAAATTGAGAGAAGACCTAAAAATCTTTTAACTCCCCATATCAATGACATTTAAATTTTTAAAATGAGAATAAAATATAGTTAATCTAGAAGAAAGTTTCAAGAAGGAGCAACCTAGTCAGGTAGTTCTGGTTTGCTTCAAGCTACACTGGCTTAGCTACAACATCCTGGACCTCTCCTATTTTCAGCATAATGAAATCCTATTAAAATTTCATAAGTATATTAATATATCTCATAGACCACCATAGTTTAGCATTCTTTAAGTGCTAAAGTGCACTTGAAAATATCTCCCAATTTGAAAGACACCCAAACATATTCACCTGTCAGGTGCACTTGCTGTTGTCTACAATCTTTGGGAAGATGAGGATATTTATCCTCAAATGTAAGTCATAAAGTCCTGCTGAACAAGTATTCCACTAAATTACACAGCCTTTCTAGATAGCTTTGTCCTGCTGCAGTGCAGTGTTTAGAACAGTGCAGAGACAACCATGGTAGTCACACCTGTAATCCCAGCAATTCTGGAGGCTGAAACAGGATGATTACAAGTTCAAGACCAGCCTGGGCAACTTAGCATGATGCCGAATCAAAATGAAAAAATAAAAAGCCTAGAGATATAGCTCAGAGGTGGTGGGAGGACGTGAAAAGAAGTATTGCCTCCAGCTAATTTTTCAACTTACAAATTGATATTCTTTTTACCCACTGTCTGGAGGAATTCATTATTTATATTACCTTCATTCTTTGCTGTAACTACATTACTGTTATTTTAAAAACTAAAAGTTAATGGGCTTAAATTGCCTTCTCCAAGGCCAAAGAGAAAAAAAGAAAAACCTATGGAAAAACATCCCATTACAAGACATTAAGCTTGCCAACTGCATTGGAAATGCAAGCTCAGCTGACTCACCATTTCCTTCAGAAGCCTGTCTTGGAGCATTTTCATGTTCTCTTTCATCAGGCACATCTGTAAATAAGTAAACATATTTCCCCTATGAAATTTGTCATAAAGTTTTTAGAGCAAAAAGCCAGACTAACCAAAATCAAGAAAGATTATATATAAAAATATAAATTTTTACCTCAGATGTAAATATAGTTTCTTCATAATCAGTGTTATAGAAGACATTTTTATCCAATGATGTTTTCAAAAGATGAAGCCTAACAAATAAAATGAGTTACCTTTGTATTTATTCGGAATTCAAGTTAAATTGCTTTGTGTATATATGCAATGTTTTTCAAATTTATATTTAATTTTAAAACCTCATTTTTTTAGATTCTAGAAGTCATTAAGAATAACATACTAACCTCTGTTGTTCACTTCTCTGATATGCACTGAACTTCTGAAATATCTTTTCCCAAAAGTCCTAAATTTTAAGATAAAAAATTAGTTGTACTTCAATATGACTGAAAACTAAAACTTAAAAGTTGAAATTTGTATATTTCTAATATTTAAAATTTAAATAAACAATTTGGCTAAGAATATTCTAGATATTATATACTTTCAGAGTTAAAAAATTGAGTGTAACATTTCTGAAGATTTCTCCTGGATTATCAAAGATAATAGAATAATAAAAAGATAATATAAACTTGTTTTCGATTTAAGTATTCATATAAAGCTGATTAAAAATGTAAAACTAGATTATGTTATAAAAAACAAAATGCATTAGAATAACTCATTTATTTTCTGCTTTGAGAGAGCAACCTAACTATAGCTTTTTTAAAGTCAAGAGTTTAAAGTAACTTGTGTCTGTTTTTTGACATGTTCTTTAGTGTTACATTCCCAATGCTTAAAGTTATGTTTAAGCTCTTAAAAGCACAAACCGCAAATTCTTTCTCCAAATCTTTTAAAGATTGTGAATCTTTTTCAAAATTCTCCAGTTCTTCTATGATGATAAATTGGAATTTATCAAGTTTTTTAATCCTATTAAAGAAACACAATATTAAGTTCAAAAACTATAGCATCCATAATATGCATTTTCAATATATGAATATACAACATTCAGAAGTTTTCAGAACAGAAAGTTATTACAAACCTATACTCCCGAATTTGATGGTTCATTGTTTTCAGATGTTGCCGAGCTGTTTTCCAAGACTGCTTAGTAAAATAATCCATCATTTTATGTCGGATCTGAAAAATACTAATTTTTAACTTACAATATCTTCACAAAACAACAATTGAAACAAGACCATACTAAGATAAAAACCTGTCCATGAAATTTAAATGACCAAGAAAAAGTTTAGAAAGTTAAAAAACTAAAAATTAAATTGTTTAAACTGAGGATTTTTATAAACAAGCTCAGTCATTCTATCAGTAAAAAAGTGAGACCCTGTCTCAAAATGAAAATAAAAAGGCTAAGGTGGTAGAGCATCTCTAGGTTCAGTCCCCAGTAACAACAACAACAATGAAAAGGTAAAAATAAATTTTAAAAAGAGATGCATAGAATTTTAAATAATTTTCAATTTTATCCCTGAGCAGAAGAAAAGGGCAAACATGAGGCAGGGCTGATAACAACCCTGATAGTGCTAAAATACCTTTTATTCAGCAAGGAATATAAAAGACTATTTCAAATATACGCATATGAGAGAAAGATATGGGTAGAAAAACATTCTGATAATTAAATATTGTTTGGGAGAGAATTTTTGCATATATCATTTCATTTTGAGGCTTCTAGAGCATCAAAAAAAAAAAAAAAACAAGGACAGACAAGTACAAAAAAAACAAGGTAGAACAAAGGAGGCAGGGTAACATACTATATCACACTACTCTCATTAATGGTCACCTCTGAAATAAAAATGTTTAAAGACGAGGCACGAAAGGAAACTGTTCAGGAAAATAAAAATTACAGAAGAAACAAAATGAGAAGCTGAAAAGCAAAATAAGACTAGTAGAAAAATAAACAATATAGACAATGGACAGATTTTAAAGTGAGAGAAACTCAGCTCATGAAAGCAGGTTTTGTTTTTTTTTTTTTTAACTTGATAATTATTTCAGTTTTTCACATGTGCAGGAAGTTGAATTTGAGAATGGGTGTTTTGTTGCCCAAGGACCAAATAAGTCAACAGTCTAATAAAATGTGGGATATATGTTATCATATTATTGAGTATAAACTATAAAGAATGATAACTCACATGAATCTTCCTCTTAAATTCTGAATTGATCTTCTCACAAATCAACCCTACACCTGAAAATTCACTTTCCCAGTTCTCCTCAGGAATTAAAAAATCATCTGTTGATAATGGAGATATGTTTTCAGATACTAAAAAACAAAAACAATCACCTAAAGTTAAAATATACATTACTATTTTCATAGTCTATGTATAACCTAAAGTTTATGAAATCAAAGGTAGACTTCATTATGCCTTTTTTTTTTAAACACAATACCTTTATTTCACTTATTTATTTTTATGTGGTGCTGAGGATCAAATCCAGGGTCTTGCACGGGCGGGGCGAGTGCTCTACTGCTGAGCCACAACCCCAGCCCCTCATTAAGTTTTTCTAATTTAAAAATAAAATTCTGATTTATAAAAGAAACCTTTTGGTATGGCTATTAAGCAAGAAATGACAACATTAAAACTGAGCATTTTGGAATTTTTTTAAACTTACAACTACTTCCAGATAATCATTAACATGAGTTTTAGAGACATACTAACACTAATTCATACTCTACTAAAATTTAGATGCAGAGAAGGAGGGGGAGTTTGAGTATCATCTGTGACCCTTCCTACTTTATTTGTAATGAAACACAGACCAACTTGGAATTATTCAAAGTTGTCTTTACAAAGGAATTTGTTTTGAAGATGAAGTCATCTAGAATCTAAGAAGCCACCTTCCAATCACTGTATGCCGACACAGGCTTTTGATATACCCACCTCTGCAGGTGTGGTGGTCTGCATCTTCAGTTCTACACCATCTTTTGGGAAGCAAGTGGACTCTCTGTTCTTCTTCTTCCATTTCCACTTCATTGACATTACCAAGATTATCTTCTATGTACACTCGTTTACAACTAAGATGCTGAGTGGAGCCTTAGAAATAGTTAAAAATAATGAATAGTGCTATAATTTTGATTAAAATACCTAATAATTTCTTGTTTTTGTTTAAAAAGCCTTTCAATTAATTATGTTTTAAGCAATTTCTCTCTAAATTCTACCTAGTTTATATATATATTTATATATATAATTATTATTCATTTTATTTGTTATTTTTTAATAAAATCATTTTAATATTTTTACACAATGATTCAATCTAGGTGTCAGATATGCTAGTTGTGCCACTGAAAAACCCTGGAAGGTAGGTACAAATATTATCTACAATTTTTTAAAATATATTATAATTTGATATGTATGACAGCAGAGTGTGATTCAATTCATATTACACAAATAGAACACAATTTTTATGTCTCTGGTTGTACACAAAGTACAGCCACACCATTTGTGTTTTCACATATATACTTAGGGTAATGTTATCTGTCTCATTCCACCATCTTTCCTACCCCATGACCCCTTCCTTTCCTTCCCAACCCTTTGCCCTATCTAAAGTTCATCTATTCCTCCCATGCTGCACCACCCCATCTCCATTATGAAGCAGCATCCTTATATCAGAGAAAACATTTAGCATTTCGTTTTTTGGGATTGGCTAACTTCACTTAGCTGTACATTCTTCAACTCCATCCATTTACCTGCAAATGCCATGATTTTATTCTCTTTTAATTCTGAGTAATATTCCATTGTGTGTATGTGTGTGTGTACGTATGTATGTATGTATGTGTGTGTGTGTACATATATATATATATATATCACCCAATCAATAAATGGGCCAAGGAACTGAACAGACACTTCTCAGAAGATGATATACAATCAGTCAACAAATACATTAAAAAATGTTCAACATCTCCAGCAATTAGAGAAATGAAAATCAAAACCACTCTAAGATTTCATCTCACTCCAGTCAGAATGGCAGCTATTAAGAATATTATTAATATATTATTATTTAATATATTATTATAACAATAAAGGTTGGCAAGGATGTGGGGGAAATGGCACACTCAAACATTGCTGGTAGAACTGCAAACTGGTACAGCCAATATGGAAAGCAGATGGAGATTCCTTGGAAAACTGGGAATGGAACCGCCTTTTGACCCAGCTATACCACTCCTAGGTTTATACCCAAAGGACTTAAAAACAGCATATTTCAGTGATGCAGCCACACGTTTATAACAGCACTATTCATAACAGCTAAATTGCGGAACCACCTGGATTCCCTTCACTAGTTTATATTTTTGACATTAACTAAATAATGGCATGACTTAAAACACATAATAATGTGAAGTTTCATCTAAAGGAACTATTTCAAAAACTAGTACTTAAAAAAAAAAAAGGCCGACTACAAACCTGATACATGAGTAGTGTCACAAGGCATATCAAACAATATTTTCTCTCTTTTTTCACTAGACATGGATAATGGAGATGGTGAATGGCTTCCCTAAAAAACATATTAGAAGTTAGAATAACAAAACACTCTAAGTACTCTTGGATTCACCTTTGACCATCTTGCTCAAATCCTAATCTCAGTAATTTGAAATGATGTCAATTCTTTCTCAGATTTTTTCTCTTTTCGACTTTAACAATACCATTAATGGAACTAGATTCTAATTGTCAATCCTATATTAATTGTTTTGAGCTTGCTTTTTTGACTATTACTACTATTCCATTTTTCCTTGTTAAATTTTTCATTAAATTTTGTGGGGAGCCACAAAAAATTTAAGGCTTAAACTCTTTCTTCCAAACTGCATCTTTCACATTTAACCTTATGTTTTACTATTAGAATACACTTTTTAAAAACTTTGTAATCTTTATTTTGGTTACTGTTATTGCTCAACTTCATCTGTATATACCTTAGGTCGATCTCAAATCCCACTTCTCTCTCCAAACTATAAAATTCAGTCTTGAGTGTGTTTGTATTTTATAGATTACAATATTTTTATTAATGGACTGATATACTTTTATGATGGCAAGAAGCTCAAGGCAACCAAATTCTTATATAATTGTGAAACCATTCCTAATTATAAATATGTAAGTTAGGGGGTTCAGCAGCCTAGTCTTCACTATTTAAGACCTTGCTACCCTCATTTTAAAACTTTAAATTTTTATGTCAAAAAACACCTTTCTATAATTAAGTATTTCTATACACTTTAAACATCAGATTTTCAGGTAGTAGTTATTGAAAAGTATTAAATATAATTAACATTAAAGACCAATAATTTGATTCTTACAAGAATTATCTCAAAGGAAAAACTGAAGATTATAGCATATTACCTCTCTTTTGCTTTGTATATGATTTTCATTAATAATTGGAAATTCAATTTCCATAAGCTCTTTTTTTCCTGAATTATAACTGCTTACCTCTGAAAAGCTATTACAATTATGTGTACAATTAAGTACCACAGCATTTATGCCTTTTTCTATTCACTATTGCATTATTCTGATTTTGAAGATGCCTGGGCTATGAATGAATAAGATTCAGAAACCCAAATGAATTTAGACAACTGTTTAAAGCCAAAAACAAACCCTTTAAACATAATAGGAAACATTAAATCAATACTACTTACACTTTGAAGGAAGTATTAATTCGCTGCTAAAATTCAACACCTATTCATAATTTTTAAACATTTAAAGTTATTAATAATTTTAAAAATTTTTAAAAATTAATAATTCTAAAAAATCTTAAGAGAAATAGAACATTAACTTGCTGACAAGTATCTACCAAAAAATATAGAGAAAGAGCCCTCCTAGTATAGAAGCCTGGGACACAGAAGTATACCACAGAGGTCAATGTCAACCTTAACAAGAAAACATTTAAGTATAAGGATTGGAACAGAAATGACAAAAATTATCATGAATAATAGTGTATATAATTGTCTATACAGCACATCTAAGAGAATCTATGCAGAAAATTGTAACATTCAGCAAGATTATTCAAGATACAAAAATCAATGTTCCTATATAAAATGAAAACAGCAGAAAATGTAAATTTTTTTAACAGTGTATTTTTAAGACACAACAAAAAGAAAACTTGTAAGAGGAATTAATTTTAACAAGAAGCCTATTTTTCTTTGTGAAAACTTTGGTACCATTTGTAGGAAACAGGGCCAAAAAATGGAGAGAAAAATGATATGGATGAGAAAGATCAGTTCAATACTGAGAAATGCAGTTCTTTTCTTAGACAAACTAATTCTAAAGTTTATACAGATAAGTAAAGGGCCAAAAGAATGCTGAAGTAAAAGAATGGGGTATGTATGAGAAACACTGTGTAACTGTAAAATTACAGTTGTTAAAATGATGTAGTGTTAGCACAAAGACAGTAAGTAGGTCATTAAAACAGAATAGTGCCTAATAGATCATCTGTGGTCACCGAGGTATTCTGCTCATGATGTTGCATAAATTTATTATCTATATGAAAGAAGAAAGCTCAGAAAGACAAAAAAAACTTAAAAGTTAAAATCAAAAGTAACATTTCTGCAAGAAAGGAAAATGCTTGTATGAGACAATAGCTTAGTGAAGGAATTCTTTTGGGTGTGTGTTGGGGGTACTAGGATTGAATCCAGAGGCACTATACCAATGAGCTATATCCCCATCCCTTTTTATTTTAAGAGAGTCTCACTAAGTTGCTTAGGTCCTGTTAAGTTGCAGAGGCTGGCCTTTAATTTGCAATCCTCTTCCCTTAAGTCTCTCAAATCCCTGGGATTCCAGGCATGCACCATCATGCCTGGCAGGGAAGGATTTCTTAATAACCCAAATGATTGATGACACTACATCATTTGCCATATGGAAGTTTTGGATTTAACTAAGTCAAAAGACAAGATGCATACTAGGGGAAAAAGTCTACATTACTTATAACCAATACAAAATATCAGGATAGATTAAGAACTATAAATTTATAAGACAAATTGAACAAGGCATTTACAAAATTAGAAAATAAACAGGTAATTCACAAGATGGCTAAAACATATATGAATACTTGTTGACACAACTTGCACACTTATCAGATTGGCAAAAATAGTCATCTGATAACATCTAGTTAAAACTGTGGAGAAGGGGCACTATCACACAGCACTATTGAGAGTGTCAACTTGTACAGCTACTTTTTAAAAAATAAAACTTATATAGTGCTGGGGATCAAACTCAGGGCCTTGCACATGCTAGGCAAATCCTCTACCACTGAGCTACATCCCCAGACCTGGTACAGCTACTTTGTAAAGAAAATTTCCAATACCTTAATAAGAGTCAACAGTAAATGGAGGGGGAAATGTCTCATGTATCAGTATCCAACAGATAAATACATAACAAATTCTAGTACAGAGTGGTATCAAGATTGAGAGTTACCTTGGTTTAGGCATTTTCAAGTTGGGATACTGAGGAACTAAAGGATTCAGGGAAACTAAGGATGACAGAGCAACACTGATAAATGACCACAGGATAATAATCTTGTGGGAAACTAGTTTTTAAATTGTCTGTAGAAACTCAGTCTTGAAAAGTATGTTGGGGATTATATGGGAGGAAAGCTATACAGGCTAGGATTTAGATGTCCTACATCTGCTTTGAAGAACATAGGTCCACTCTCATCTGTTTGACATATTGGGAATTTTCTGCAAGAGGTCATTTGAAAAATATTCTCTGTGAAGACTACTGGTTTAAAAGAATAAAAGGACCTTAAAATCTTCTAGGAATAAAAAGCACATTCATTTAAAAGTACTCAGACAGAAGGTTGGTTTTAACAGCAGTTTTAGATCTCTGCTATAGGTGTGCTGAATAGTCATTAACAGTTTTTTTTTTTTTTCCTGCAGAGCTAGGGATTGAATCCAGGGCCTCATGCATGCTAGGTAAGCACTCTACCACTGAATAATTAACTCTACTTTGTATGCAAAGTTTAGCACATAACAAGAAAATATTTGAGTATTTACTACATATCAGGTACTATGTTTACATAGTTCAGCCTAAAATTTTCATTGCACTTCATCTTTTTCATCTGTAAAATAGGGCAAAGAGATTCATTAACTTGTAAAATGTTACATGGCTAGCAAATAGTGAAGTCAGGATTTAAACCCAATTCTGTCTGACTCATAACTCTCAGCTATATACCATAGTAATGAACAACATGAATATCTTTGCATTCAATTGTTTTTTCACTACTTCAAAATTATCTAAATTAAGCCATATATAATATACAAGCAAAAAAGGAGGCGCTGGTAAGTTTTATAAACTGGTACCAAAGTATCCCAAAACTTCTTTTTCTCCTCATGAACATTAAACAACATTTCAGTTATCTACCTCATTTTAAAACTTAATCACATCCTATCTTTATTATCAAGTTTTGGACATTTAGGCATACATTTTATTACAAAACTATATAATATAATTTGATATTTGAAAGAAAAAATCCATCATATATATTTTAACTTTTATATTCATGTTATTTACCAATCAGTTTTAAACTTCCTTATAAAAATTTAAAGCAAAAACTATACTGTTCAGAACTACATTCTTGGCAATTTAGTTGTCAACTTGTGATTTCAATTAACTAAAGTTTCTTAAAAGGTTATGGACTTTGAATTATGGTGAAATGTGAAGAAGGTACCTGTGTTGCAGGAATAAATCTATCCCAAACTAGAAAATGTATGCCATTCTGGTGTATAGATAAAAAAGCAGAAGCGATCATTCCTATCACAGAATCCTTAACTACGCTGTTCTGTCACAATACCACTTTTTTTTTTTCCTGTGTAGCAGCTATACATGAGTCTGTTAGGTTCACTGAGGGGGCTGAGAACTGTATCTTATTTGTCATTATGTCCTCTTACCCCAGGCCACAGACCAACTTCAAAACCTTAAATAGACAAGTTATGTGTATTTGATTAAGATCATAGACAAATGATTTACTACCTTCAGACAGATATATCTGATTCTCTGCCCCTTTCCTCTCTCCCCGCTTACCAAAAACAGAGGTTGTGGAATTGGTGAGCAACTTTCACTTGCACATAGCAAGTTTGTTCCATTGTTTTTGGATGAGTTTACCGGACCTCCAACTTCTTTGTTACTGTCTAAGGATTCAGGTGATGAGGTTTTCAGGTAAGGTGATAGAGATTTTGTTCTACAGTCACAATCCTGAATAAAATCATTTTCTGTTATTTTCTCTATACCTGTAGTGCCTCACAAAACACAAACAAAACAGATGGCAGGTGTTATCAAAGATGTCTGCTTTAGAAATAGCATGATTAAATTCTAAGAATATGACAAGTTGTTGAACATTAAAATCTTAGCTATATTTAAAAAGATAAACTTTTGCAGGCTGACTCAGTTGGCAGAGTGTTTGCCTAGCATGTGGGTTCCATCTCTAAAACTGAAAGATTCCCCAGCACCACTAAAAAACATAAAAGAACAACTTTCCATAAATTAAGGCTACATTATGTTTAAAATATTTTGTAAGGCTCTGAAAAATAGCTGAATTTAAAAACTTTCAAAACATTTTCTAATAAAATATCTACAGTATGAACTGAAATATAATTATGTAAATATTATCTTATTTTATCACCATAGTAAATAGTGTTTTTACATATTAAAGTCACAGATTTTATGACTGGAAAGGCTAGGAAAATCATCTCATCTGAATATCTCATAAAATGAGGAAATTCACTGCTGAAATGAGTCTTAAAAGAATTCTCAGTTTTCATATGAAATCTGGGCATGTACATCTGTCTTTTCAGTATGTGCTTATCTGAAGTGACAGTTGTTCTAAGCATTAGTAAAGTAAAAGAACACAATCACTAGCTACTTTAGGTGGAGCATAAGTACATTAACTGATCTATTTGCTAAATTTTAAGTGAAATGAATAACATTTAGAAATAACATTTAGAAAGATCCTTGTAAGCAATTGAAAGTGAAGCAAAAAGTGCGAACTATAAGGAGTTTCTTTACTTGAAAGACATACATATACCAAAGCTCCAAAGATTGTGAATTTTCTTTACAATTTATTTTTAAAAAGCAAAACATCTATTATGAAGATAATCTACTGTTAGTCTACAGGATGATCATGATATCCTTTGGACTCTTGTCAATAAATTGTAACAAGGAAAAAATAGAAATTCCTATAATACTTGTGTTTTTAAATATATTTCCAGCTAAAAGCACATTAAAAATAGGCTCTTAGTTGAGCTTTCACTGTACCTTGCAAACATATATTAAGTGTTTTCCATATTAAAGCATTTGATCTTTAATTTCCTAACTTGAAAAATTTAAATGACATTGTTCCCAAGTTAGCAAAAATAAAGTTACTAACATTAACTAGTATAACAATGAAGTTTTAACTGCCTATAATCTTAAATACCTATAATCGTAATCCCTCAAAATTAATCTACAAATTATACTTTCACATAATCAGAGTTAATTATTCAATTACAATGCACAGAAATAATACTGACATCTCATTACTTCTACAGATGATGGAGTCTCAGATAAAGATGAAGGAGATGAATCCAGGCTATTATCTTTTATAGTATCTTTTAGTAGAGATGAGTATTTCCATTCTTTTGATAGTTCTTTTTGTGTATCAGCAGAGAAGACTTTCTGTCGTTTCTTTGGCAGTTTCATTGTTTTGGTTCTGGAATGGATGTTTTCCTCCTAAATTTATTGATAACCTTGAAGTTACACTTCAATACAAATACTTACACTTAGACACATTAAAAAAAATCACATTGAAATATTTATTAAATGTTTTATGCTGTACTACATACGGGCATCACAAGGGCCTAGGCATTAGTGAAAAACTTTCTATTATACTGGATGGCATAAGACAAATGTGCAGGAAAATGGAATGTTTAGATACAATAAATAAGAGATATAAATAAAATGCTATAAGAGTTCAAAGATTATATCCAATTTAAGGAAACCAGAAAGAATTCCTAGATTTTGAAGTATCTGAAGCACTGAGGAGTGGTGAAAGGAGTGAGGGGAGGACTTACTGGGATATGAAGATGGCTGATAGAGTGAAGGCAGTGGAAAGCTCAGGTCTTATGGTATCTGGTTGTTAACAGTTCTGGGTATATAATGGGGAAAAGTAGAAGCAAGCATGGAAAGGTATTTTGATGCTTTGAACGTCAAGAGGAAGATTTTCAGGGTTAATTCTTTGAAGAGCAATAGGATGAGGGATGACTTGGATTCATTTGCCTAGATGTGAGGTAAACTAAAATTGAAGTGATACAAAATATGGAGGTAAGTAATGAAGTCTTCCAGGTAGGAGATAATAAGGGAGGTTGAGGTTTATTTACTTAAGATCAACATAACATAGTAGTCAGAAACCTATCAGACTCTCTGGGTTTAAATTCTATCACTTTCTTGTGTGATAAATCTGTAAAGTGCTTAAAACTGCAGCTGACATATTATCTTTCACCTTTTTATTATAAAAGCGTGCAAACACAGGTGCTGGCAATATGTTGTAACATTATGAGACAAGGGTGGGGCAGTATAAAGGAAGAACCTGACACCAATAGTTTTGCTTTCATTCAAGAAAGAGCTACAGTTTCCCAACAGGTTGTACTATACTGAAGCATAATTTTGGAAAGAATTAAGTACTTTTCTATTTATAAACATCATTTTAAAGTTATAATTTCACTAGAGACAGACATCTAATTTTTAACACTAATGCCAACTTATAAAATTTAGCACTATATTTCCTAGAGACCAATTTTTAGAATTATTATAAAAAAGTTTTCCCCGCTGAGGTTGTGGCTCAATGCTAGAGCGCTCGCCTGGCATGCACGAGGCACTGGGTTCGATCCTCAGCACCACATAAAATAAATCTATGTCCTGTCCACCTAAAACTAAAAACTAAATATTTAACAACCAGTTTTCTCATATAGAAGTAACAAGTTAAATATGATATTTAAGAAAAGAAGTAACAAGTTAAATTTGATATTTAAGAAAAGAAGTAACAAGTTAAATTTGATATTTTTACAAAAGTATATATTTAATACTTCAAGAGGCTTTGAGAAATTATTAAACTGAACTGTACCTATTTACCTTTACTAGAAAGCTCTCTTTAAATGAATGTGACAATTCTTGTTCACTCTCTGATTCTGAATTTGAGAGATCTTTATAATTCTTTTTGGTTCTTGCTGCTCTTCTTGGAAGTCTGGTTCTACCATCGGGAACTATCTCCTCCCTCTGCTTGGTGTTTTTTTTGTATGCCTTTAAGAGAAAAATTCCTGAATATTACTAGATCAATATTTAAGATAGAAAAAATACAAGCTACTTGCTATAAAATTGACACTAGACATACATAAAATATTTGGTCAGAATAAAATGATTCTTGATTAATAGATTTTGAATGATTATGTTTTATTTTCCCATTTCAATTTTCTTCTTTACCACTATTTTCCCTTATCAACATTTCAATTTTCTTCCTTATCATTAAATCTGTAAGAGACCTGATATAAACTATATAAAGTAAAAGGAGGTCAAATATACCTGTTATCACACAGAATGAAACAGACTAAAAATAAGGCCAACATGATTCTAAAAAACACAAGTCAAGAGAGGTGTGCAAAGACAGAACAATTATGGAAAATAAGCAATTGATAGGAAGAAAATTATGAGATGGCAAATGAATTATTTTTATATGATAAGAAAAAAATAACTTTAAGGGAATGTTTGAACACAAAACTTCTTACTTTACCATTTTAGATCTTGGTTGACCCTTATCCAAGAATGGTCCTGCAATTTAGGAAAATAAGGTGAAATTTTTCAAATATATAAAAACTGGCATTAAGTTTCTTAGAGCCATCGCTGCATGTATAAATTAAAAATCATTCAAAACAAGAGCGTATATCCTTTTTTAAAATTTTGTTTCTTCATGTAGCTTTAAGCCACCAGGACATAGGCCCCCCCCCCAATAAATCTTTACTGTTCTGTTGAAGAATTTGGCCATCAGGTTGACAAGCTGCTTGGGGAGCATTCCCTTCCTCCAAGCTTTCTGCCCCATCCCTTGGTACTGGGGATTGATCCCAGTGGGTTCCTCTGCCACTGAGCTTCGTACATCCTTGTTTGTATTTATTTGAGACAGGGTCTCACCAAACTGCTGAGGCTGGCCTTGAATTTATGATCCTTCTCTTTCAGCCTCCCAAGACACTGGGATTACAGGCACATACCACCACACGTAGCCATTCCCCTGAACTCTAGTTAGTATTCGTGGTACCACATCATAGATGGGAAAGAATCCATCTTTAAACGCATTCAGAATTTTAAATTTCAAGAATTGATACTCTTACTATATAGTGTTTGGTATAGTATGAATTGCCAATCTTCCTGCCTCTCCTTATTTTATATTCTAAAACTTCTTAAACATGTAAAAGCATTTGTAATATAAATTATAAAGTGAACAGCCATTAGTTTAGTACTCAATTTAAGAAACAGATTATGAATGGTATTGATCTACTTATATATGTTCTTTAATAGTCCTCCATATCCTCTCTGCTAAAAGGTAATTACTATCCTGAAATCTGTTTCTCATTTACTTGATTTAAAAAAGACTCTTTTCACAGATATGTAACTCTAAATATAATGAGCTTTGTAAGATTAATGTCATGTCCTATTCTATGATTTGCTTTGTTTTCCATACATTGTTATGTTTCTAAGATTTACCCATATTACTGATAGTAAAGCTTTAGTTCCACTTCCCTTTTTTCCTTTCCAAGGATAATATCTTTTTAAATATCCACTGAAGCCTAAGAAATGAGATCATCCAAGTCAAAGCAGTAAAGTTTATTTGGAAGAAAGGTCTTCTAATCCTGGCAATTAGCTTATATACATATTAACTTGTCACTTAATCATTTAAACAAAGTAATTCACATAGAAGTTCAATTTTATAAGTATTTAATGATTACAGTATTTAATCTCTAAAATCTTGAGAATTTCCAGTCTTCTGCTTTTTAAGAAATGTATTCATTTGTATGTCTTCCCATTAAACTGTGAGCCTCCTGAGGTCATGTGAGCCTTACCATGTTTCTCCTGGGCTTATAACACACAGTTTCAAACTCCAGATTCCATGACTAGATCTAGCCTCACCTTTCATTATTGTTACAAATAAAAATCTATGTATGTTACAACTACCCCCATTTTGCATTCCCTGAATATACTATGCTATTTTATAATCCTGTCCCTTTTACCTATGATAATCTTGCTCCTTTCCTTTCTGACATATTTGGTTGGACTCTCACATTTTGAGATTCAGCCTCATTTCTAAGTATATTCCCCAATTCATTTTTGTCTAATTTTAATTCTCTTTAAGCCATTTCACCCTGTTAGCAGTCATTGGTTATTTTTATTCTAAAACTAAATAAAAGCTAATTCCCTTGAAATAAATATAAATTCAATTGAAAAACAGTTGTCTTCTTTTAAAAATGAAGTATATAAAGTCTTTGTCTTTTAGCAAACATTGACATTGATATTCAGCTACAAAAATGGTAATTATCTTTAGCCAAAACCTATAACTCAAACTTGTATTCGACTACTTCAATAGATTCATTTTCACAAAAACAGAAACCATACTCTAGGAAAATATTTTTTGTAAGACTTGAAAATTGTTTTCCTTCTGATATATTTTTATTGCATCCAAATGAATTCCTAAAAAGCATGTAAGCTGGCTACAGCAGAGAACCAGGATGCTGAGAAGAAAATATATATAATAAATGCAAATAATCGTAAATAGATGAAAGTGTCAAGGCTCAAATTCTGGTTTTGTTTAAGGATTCTGAATTTACGAGTACTTTGTGTACTATTTACAATAACCAATTAGCTCAGCAGCAGTTAAGTGAGCCATGCGTAAAAAGTGATGAAAGTATGTCATGAACCAAGGACCATATTAAATCAAATTTTGTATCCTTACAGTCCTATTAAAAGTTAATTTAAATATAACCATAGTGGACAAAACAAAAACATAACTACTATAGTGTTTTGTCCAATTTGTAGGGAATATATTGTTGTAAATGGTCTACATATAAAAGTATACTTATCAAACAATAAAACATTTAACACAATCAAAATGATAAATTTGCATTATTTCTCTAATAATTTCTTACTTGATTTCCCGTTTTCACATTTCTTCACATTTTTATTTCTGCTATAGTCTATTAGCTGTGGTTTTGATTTTGGTTCTTTTAGCCAGCTAATATCTGTCTTGCTGTCATCACACCTATATTCTGTTTCAGTATCACTGAAGAGATTTTTCTTTTTATGATTTGTGATAATCTATTTTTTAAAAAAAAATTTGAAAGAGATGAAGAAATATCTTATTAAAGGAATTTAAGTCAACACTTTCTCCCCCCCAAATCCAGGAAATCTAACTTCTCCTTTTTTTTAACATACCAATTTAAGGATTGGCATTAAAGATCTATTCAAGAAAGTAACTCAGAAGTACAGATCAGATAGTGAGATTTATATTTTGATGATAGTGTTAATTAAAAAAATCAAAACAATATATACTTCCAGAGATATAACCTAACACTGTTAAAGAAAACAACAGAAGTTGTTATATTAAGATGGATAATTTCATAAGGGAATGAAAAAAATAATGTTTTTTGGGGGGATGAGGTACCAGGGATTGAACTACTGAGCACATCCCCAGCCCTATTTTGTATTTAGAGACAAGGTCCCACCAAGTTGCTTAGCAACTCTATTTTGCTGAGGCTGGGTTTGAACTTGAGACCCTCCTGTCTCAGCCACTGGGATTACAGGTATGTGCCACTGCACCCAGCAAAAAATAAAAATCTTTTTCCCCATTTCTTTGATGAGAATCTTTGGCATTAAAATGTATTAAAATAAATGCTATTTTTATAAAATACATTAGGATATTATAACTTACCCTTTCATCTTTTGTTTTGAGAGAAGGTTGAAGTTCATCATGATTCCGTGAACCTACCCTTAAGCAAAAATAATAATTAACATAAAAATATCTGTTATGATTGTTTTCTTAAGCCAACATGCACTGGACAATTAGATCTCAGTTTTCAGCCTCAACTCTTTCACTAATTAGCTATATAATTCTGGCCAGGTAGCTTATCCGCTCAACTTAGTAAGTTATAAAATAATGTGTATGGATTGAAGAAATACACAACTACAATTCAAAGTATAGATAATTTGCATATTAACTGAAAAAGTAAATGTTGAAGTAGCAGAATCATGATAGAAATAATCATGACAACCTGGGAATGGAACCTCCAATTGACCCAGCTATATCCCTCTCCTCAGACTATATCCAAAGGACTTAAAAACAGCATACTACAGGGACACAGCCACATTAATGTTTATAGCAGCACAATTCACAATAGCTGTGGAGCCAACCTAGATGCCCTTCAGTGGATGAATGGATAAAAAAATGTCGCATATATACACAATGGAATATTACTCAGCATTAAAAAAGAATAAAATCATGGCATTTGCAGGTAAATGGATGGGGTTGGAGAAGATAATGCTAAGAGAAGGTAGCCAATCCCAAATAAACAAATGCTGAATGTTTTCTCTGATATAAGGAGGCTGACTCATAGTGGGGTAGAAAAGGGGAGCATGGGAGGATTAGATGAATTCTAGATAGGGAAGAGGGGTGGGAGGGAATGGGAGGGGATTAGCAAGGACAGTGGAATGTGATGGATATCATTATCCAAAGTACATGTATGAAGACTCGAATTGGGTGTCAACATACTTTATATACAGAGATGAAAATTGTGGTATATATGTGTAATAAGAATTGTAATGCAAAAAAAACCCCCACAAAGTACATGTATAAAGGCATGAATTGGTGTTAACAAAGATATGAAAAACTGTTCTCTATATGTGAATTAAGAATTGTAATGCATTCCACTGTCATGTATTTAAAAAAATAAAATCAATAAAACTAAAAAAAAAGAAATAATCATGACAGTAGCATTTTAATTTCATTCCTCTCCTATGTTAAAAACTCTTAGAGAAACAGAGTGAGGACAAGCTACTTAAGAGGGGAAAAAGTTAAAATTGTTTTAATCTGACCTATGTTATTAAAATAAAAACACCTACAATTTTATTGAATTATCCACACATGCTTCTGTAGCTGTAGCTTGAAATTCTTGGATCTATATGGTGAATAAACATTAAAAAAAAAAGAGTATTCTTAGTGTCAAGGTAAACAAAAGTTAAGGAATAAGCACAAAATCTAGTTTCTATCATCTCTTAGAATCATAAAAATTGAAAATAAAATTTAAAATGATACAATAAATACAATAAAATACACTCAAAGCAAAACAAATAAAAGTATTTGTTTTAAACCTGTCCCAGCAAAAAAAAAGAGAAAGATTTTCTTGATAGAATAAGTCTTTTACTTTTCCCACTCATTTCTTTCCTCCTTATCCACAAAACATTTAGAAAAACCCTAGAGATACCCTAGCTGGTTATCCAAATATATTTTCACATATTTAAAAAAATTTTAAAGTACATCTATAAGAAGATGCACATCAAAAACACTCATAACTGTATAATACATGCAAAATAACTACTGAATAAGTACAAAATAAACATTAATTTCTAGCTTACTCCGAGTTTTATAACAGGATCATCAGCTCCATTCAAATTAAAATTATAAACATCATTCCTGTGAAATTAAATACAAATGTTAGTTCCATTATAGAAGAAATGTTTAGTTTCTTTAAATATGAAAAAAATGAAAAGATTAATAAAAAATTACTTACAATGGGCATTCAGAAGTAACATTAACAAAAGTAGTCTTCAGTTTTCTGTAACTTTTTTTCTGAACTTTTTCCTAAATACAAAAGGTTTACATAAACCATTTAAACTTAGACTACTACTGACCACATAGCAAACAAATCACATATGCAATTAAATATTCATCTATTTAACATTTCCATCTGCACTGACACTACTATAAATCTGGCATTTATAACATTTTCCTTAATGTGAGTTAATAAACATATACCTCAAAAAATTAAATCACCACCTGTAAAGATACCTGCACTCCCATGTTCCTTGTGACATTATTTTAATATCTAAAACAGAGAAACAACCTAAAGTGTGTACTGACAGATAAATGGATAAGGAAACTAATAAACACACACACACACACACACACACACACACACACACACACAAAAACAGGAATGTTATTCAGCTTTAAAACAAAGAGATACTACCATTTGTCACAACATCTATATACATAGAGGGTATTATGTCAAATGAAATTAAGGCAGACAGAAAGAAACCTGCATGATTTCACATGTGGAATGTAAAGTTTGAATATATAGAAATAGTAAAATGGTGGTCATGAGTGGGGCAAGGAGAAGGAAATGAGAAGTTGATTAAAGGATAATAGGTAGGGATTAATCAATTCTAGACTCTAATATAGAAAATGAGGACTACAGTTAATAATATTATATTGTATTCAGTTTTTTCCCCATAAAAATCATATTTTAGGTGTTTTGTGAAACACACATACAGGTGAATTAAGTGAAATAATGGATGTGTTCATTTTCTTGGCTACAATAATCATTTCACTATGTAATATCATCATTTCATGCACCTTAAATATATAAAAGGAAAATATCAAGCATCCACACTAGAAAAATGATTTAAATGCATGTATTAATTATTTGGGGGAAAATATGTGTACAATTATTCACATAGATTATAGCTCAAAATATATTCAACCAGATCACAAATTACTGAGGGCAGGCAGTAAAGAAGTTAAACAAAATTTAATGAATTAATATTTGTATTGATTTATTACATTTAACTATGGTTAAGTAATATTGCTAAATAACTAATCAAAATAATCAGAAGACTAATTTAACATCTGGTAAGTTATAAATATTAAAATCTAAAACATTCATTTTAATTTGTGATTTATTTTCAATTTAAAATTTTGGCTATATCATATAGAATTATTTGCATTATTCTCAAAACTTTCTATATATATCATTCCTCTGATCACTTATCTGACTTACCCAGTGTTCAGGTATGTATGTTCATTTCTCTTTTGTGTACCAGTAATACCAGCTAGGTATTACAGAACATCATATAAAACAGGATATGCAAATGTTAATACATGTATGTATTAGAGATGTACAAAGGTGAACAAAGATGTTAAAAGAAGATATAAAGATGACTCAAGACAGTTACACCCTAGTAAGACAGGAGAAAGGAAAACCCTGTAGTAATGAATAAAATAATTTTAAAACACAAAAAATTATTTATTTCCAATTGAATATATTTTTTCTTTGGTCAGGGGACCTTGGAATCTTTTCACAAAGAAGACAGACTCAAAAGCAAGACTCCCAATGAATATTAAGATCTTGGTAATCACAAAAGAAGGAATGAGAATTTGAGTTCTTTCCAAAAAAGGTTAAAGAGAATAAGTAATGTACTAATGAATGGATTGGCACAGAAACATATTACACTATAAAAAAAGAGAATTACATAAAGACTATCGTAACAGTTCAGGAATCAGAAATTAGAACTGAAAGACAACAGGAGTTGTCATAAAGGAGAAAAGATTCAAAAGAACTTATAGAGGGTAAACTTCAGAATTTGATAAAATTACAGAAAGTAATTTTAAATAATAAATTTAAGAAAACTATTTTTGCCTCAATGAAGATAATATATATATATATATATATATATTTTTTTTTTTACCAAATCAGGACTTAAGAAGGACCTATAATTGTCAAGACAGATGGGATAAGTTAGTGCAAAATAAAACAAACAAACAAAAAACCTAGTGATATGGACATACTGAATTATGTACAAAAAAGTAAAATATTGAGCTTATATAAAAGAAGCATCCAATTCCTTCTTAATACTAATTTAGTGTCTATAGTCAAATATCAAGTTTGACTACAGGTTTGGTGAAATTAAATAAAGGACACCTACCTTACTAAGTTGTAGGTCAGATTTGTTTAAAAAACCACTATAAAAAAACATTGACAATATTTAAAGAGCAATTAAATATCGATTATTTCTCAAAAGTTATTTTATATAAGGCAAAACATATTTTGGTCACTAACTCTATATTCAATATGTTATAAATAACCAAAATGTCACAGCTATATTTTTTCAGCTTTCCTAAAATAGCAGCTAAAATAGTTAATTATAAGTTGAATCATTAGTGAAGCAGGAAGTAGCAAACAATTTTTAAAAACTGGTTTTACCCTGAAGGTCATTTTTAAATGTCAGAATTAATTAATTTTAATTAAATTAACAGGGCAAGGATTAATTTTAATTTGAATTAACAACCTGACAGCTGCATGCAGTGGCATATGCTTGTGATCCCAGCAACTGGCAGGCTGAAGCAGGAGGATTACAAGTTCAAGATCAGACTCAGTAATTATTAAGGCCCTAAGCAACTCAGTCACTGTCTCAAGACAAAAATAAATAAATAGCACTGGGGATATAGCTCAGTGGTAAGGCACCCCTGGGTTCAATCCCTAGTACCAAAATAACAACCTGATAGTTCATAAATGAACATTTTGCATTAAAGGAATTAACCTTAAGATAATAAGGAATACATTAGTTACTATGTTAAAATAATTCACTTAAATAAGCTCACTTAAACTTCATATTTCATTAAGCAACATATTTAAATTTAGTTTTACTCAGTACTCTCACTACTAGAGTCCATAAATAAAATTGTAAGATACTTGCATCCTAAAGATTTACTTCTAAAATGGTATACTGTATTGATATGGCATTATTTGATACTTTATAAAATGTAACCAATCACTAGAATGGCACATTTAAAATTTAATTTCCCTCCTGCTTAATCTAAACAGCTATTGCTCGTAACAACTATATGTTTTCTACTGGATAGTTACATGATTTGAATGCATACTTAAAACTAACATTTAAAAAAATAATTCAGTTGTTAGCTGTTAGAAAAATATTTATGTCTAAAATTTTAATCAACATACCCATCCATCAAAGACTCCTTTAATTTTCTTGTAGACTTCATGTCATCTTTTGGTTTGTATCTCTTATTAATTTGGCTTATTAAGGTTTCTGCTGCATTAGTAAATTCTTTTCCTTTTGACTTTTCTCTCTGAAACAATTTATAAGTTACTTTAAAACTCTCCCAGTTGACTTTCAAAGAAGAATAAAGGCTAAATATAGAAATTCAAGAAAAATTTGGTTCTATATATATCTACAAAGAAAAATAAAAAAGGCCAAAATTAGTTAATAAGTTTGGGTTTTGTAAAGCATTAGAACCAACCAGAACAAGTCTTTAACATAAAAGCTATGCAGAATGCTCTATAGAGTAGTTTCTTTATTCTATAAATGAGAATAAAAATGAACTTTAGGAAAAAGAAGCCAGTTCTTTGAAAAGGTCAATAAAATTGATAAGCTTCTAGCCAAGTTAAGGGAGGGAGAGAGAAAAATACTATTTTTTTTTATAACTTTCTTTTTACACGTAGTGCTGAGGATCGAACCCATTGCCTCACACACGGTAGACAAGCGTCCTACCACTGAGCCACAATCCCAGCACAAGTTACTAATATTGATAAAGGAAGAGGGGCCATCATTTTAAACCACCTGGACATTAAAGTGGTAAAAAGAATATTATGAACTCCATGTCTACAAATTTTATAACTATATAAAATGGATAAATTTCTTGTAAGATACAAGGTATCAAAACTTGTGCAAGGATAAATGGATCATTTGAATATTCCTGTATGTATGAAAGAAAGTGAATCTACAATTAATCTCCTAAAACAAAAAGCGCCTGACTTAGATGGGTTAATGGTAAATTCTACCAAATACTTAAGGAAGAAATGATACTAAATCTCCACAATCTTCCAAGAGAGAGAAGCGGAATACATTCTAAGTCTTTCTATGAGGCAAGTATGACACTAATGCCAAAACCCAAGACATTAAAAAGAGAAATCTACAGACCAGTGTCTTTCATAAACACAGATGCAAAAATTCTCAACAAATTATTTGCAAATCAAGTCCAATAATGTACTAAAAAAAAACTATGCACCACTACCAAATGGTATTCTGGTATGCAAGAAATATCAACAGATAACACAAAAAGCATTTGACAAAATCCAACATCCACTCATGCAGCTTAATAAAACTTCATGTGTACATATACCACGTTTTATTTACCCAATAATTTACTGGTGAATACCTCAGCTCATTCCATAAGTTTGACTACTGTGATCCATGCTGCTATAAACATGGGTATGCATGTATCACTGTTGTATGATGATTTTAATTCTTTAGGATAAATACCAAGGAATGGTATATCTGGGTCATATGGTAGTACTATGCCAATCTTGGGAAGAAAGCTCCATACCAAATTTTATAGTGGTTGTACTACTTTACAATCTCCTCTAAATCCTTTGTTTGTATTCTTGATGACTGCCATTCTGACTGCTGTGAGATAAAATCTAAATGTGGTTTTGATTTATATTTCCCTAAATGCTAATTATGTTGAAAACTTTTTCATATATTTGTTGGCCATTTGTATTTCTTCTTTTGAGAAGTGTTTAATTCATTTGCCCATTTATTATTGGATTATTTGTTGTTGTTGTTGTTGCTGTTTTGGTTTAAGTGTTTTTGAGTTCTTTATATATTCTGGATATTAATCCTCTAAGAAAAGGGGTTCACAAAAATTTGCCCCCATTCTCTAGGTCCTTTCTTCACATTCTTGTTTGCTTTGCTGTGCAGAAGCTTTACAATTTGATGCCAATTTTATTAACTCTTGGCATAATTTCCTCAGCTTTATAGGTCATATTTAGAAATTCGCTGCCTGTGCCTATAAGCTGGAATGTCTACTATAAGTTTTATTCTAGGAGTTGCATTGTTTCTGGCCTAATTCCTTGGTCTTTGATCCACTGAGTTAATTTCTGTGCACAGTAAGAGATAAGAGTCTAGTTTCATTTTTGTACATATGGATAACCAGTTTGGGTTCCCAGCACCATTTCTTAAAAGGCTGCTTCTCCAATGTGTTTCTGGCACCTTTGTCAAGTAGCAGATGACTATACATATGTGGGTTTGTCTCTGCATTATCTATTATGCACCACTGATCCATGTGTCTGTTTTTTATGCCAGTACCATGCAGTTCTTTTTACTATAGTTCTGTGCTATAATTTGAGGTCAGGTATTATGCTTTCTGGCTTAGAATTTCTTTGGATATTCTGGGTCTTGTTTTCTTCCAGATGAATTTTAGGACTATTATTTTCTAGTTTAATGAAGGATGTTATTGTTATTTTGATGGGAATTGCAGTGAATCTGTATATTACTTTTGGAGATACAGCCATTTATTTGCACAATATTAATTCTCCTTCTCTATGAACAACTTCTTTCTTCCATGATGTATAGATTTCATTGTATAGATCTTTTACCTCCTTGGTAGAGATTTATTCCTAGGTTTTAAAAATGACTATGGTGAAAAATTCCTTTACTGACTTCTTTCTCAGCAGATACATTATTGATATTGGAAAGCTACCGATTTTAGTATGTTGATATTATAATATGCCATTTTGCTGAACTTATTAGTTATAACAGTAGAGTTTTTTTGATCTTCTGAATATAGAATCATATCATTTTCAAATAGTGATAATTTGACTTCTTCCTTTTCTATTTTTATTCCTTTTATTTTCTTCTCTAGTCTAATCGCTCTGGATAGAATTTCTAGCACCACATTAAATAGGAGTGATGAGACGGGCATCTTTGTCTTATTGCAGAATTTAAAGGAAATGACTTCAATTTTGCCCTATTTACTATGAGATTAACTTTAGATTTTTCATATACAGTCTTTATGTTGTTGGGGTAGGTTCCTTCAATCCCTACTTTCTTTAGTATTTTTATTATGAATGGGTGCTAAATTTTATCAAAGGCCTTCTCTTCATCTGAGAGGAGTGATTTTGTGCTTAATTACATTAATGTGATGAATTACATTACTGATTTGAATATGTTAAACCATCTTACCTATCTATGATAAAACCAACTTGGTCATGATGTACAATCTCCTTAATATGTTTTAGTATGGTTTGCTAACATTTAATTAAGGATTTTTACATGTAAGTTCATCAGGGATATTATGGTTTGCTAATATTTAATTAAGGATTTTTACATGTAAGTTCATCAGGGATATTAGTGTGTAGTTTGCTTTCCTTGATGTGTCCTTATCTGGCTTTCATCTGTGAGTGATACTGGCTTCATAGAATTTGGAAGTGTTCCATTGCTATCCATTTCATAGAAGTTTAGGGACAATGACATTAGTTTTTCCTTAGATGTGGCAGAATTCAGCTGAGAATACATCTGATCCTGGGCTTTTGATAGTTTTTTTTTTTAATTACTGCTTCTCTCTCATTTACTAGTAATGCTGCTTAGATTCTCTGTCTTCCTGGTTCAATTTAGGCATGTCATATGTGTCTATAAATGTATCCATATCTTCTAGGTCTTCCAATTTGTTGAATTTTTAAAAAACTCCCTAATGATCCACTGGATTTCTGTGACGTCTGTGATGATTCTCCTTTTTCAACTCTAACTTTACTGAGCCTTTTCTTTTGGTTAGATTGACTAAAGGCTTATTAATCTTGTTTATCTCTTCAAAAATAATTTCATTGATCCTTTGTATTTTTTATTCTCAATTTCATTGATTTCAGCTATTATCTTAACTGTTTCCTTCTACTGTTTTGGGAATTGGTTTGTTCTTATTTTTCAAGGGTCTTGAGATGCATCATTAGGGTGTTTATTGGGGATCTAATTTTCTTACATAGGCACTCATAACTATACTTTCATCTTAGAACTGTCTTCAATGGTGTCCCAGAGGTTCTGGAATGTTGTATCACTGTTTCATTTCAGATTTTTTTTTTTACCTTTCCCCCCGATTTCTTCTACTACCCATTCATCATTTAAAACTATATTGTTTAATCTCCATATTTTTATACGTTTATGCCATATGTATAGTCTGATGGTTTTCTGATGTTGATCTCTAATTCTATTATGATCTGATAAGATGGAAGAAATTGGGGCTGGGGTAGTAGCTCACTGGTAGAGTACTTGCCTAGCATGTATGGGGCACCTAAAACTAAAAAATAAATGTTTTAGAAAAAGATGGAAGAAATTATATCAATTTTTTTTTGTATTTGCTGAGAGTTTCTTTGTGGCCTGGAATATGGTCTATCTTGGAGAAGGTTCCATGAGCTACTGAGAAGACTGTGTATTCAGCTGTTGTTGGATGAAATATTCTATAGATGTCTCTTAAGTCCACTTGATTTATAATATTTTTCAGGAGTCTTTCCTGAGTTTATATCTGGATGACCCTTCTAATGGTGACAGAGGTATGTTAAAATCACCTAGGATTATTGTACTGGGGTCTGAGGCTTTAATTCAAGTAGTTTCTTTTTTATATAATTAGTTGCACCAATGTTTGAGGCATAAATATTTATGATTATTCCTTTACCAGTTTGAAGTGATCTTCTGACTCTTCTGATTGATTTTAATTTAAAGTCTGCTTTGTCAGATATGAGAGTAGCTACCCCTGCTTGCTTTTGGACTTCATTCACATAGTACATCAATTTCTATCCCTTTCACTTTCAGCCTGTGACTGTCTTTGCCTGTAAGGTGAGTCCCTTAGAAACAACATATAGTTGGATCTTATTTTTTGGTCCATTCTGCCAGCTTATGTCTTTCAATTGGAGAGTTGAGACCATTTATATTAAAAGTTGTTATAGAGGTTTATTAATTCCTGCCATTTTGATTTATTTGTATTGTTTTATTTGGTCCTGTTTCTCATTTGCTTAGCTATTGTTCAAATGAGATTTGTTCATTTGTGAGCTCTGGGGTTGTTTTTTCTTTTTCTGTATGGAGAATCTTTAATTCTGTATGCTGGCTCAGTATACCAGCATTCCAATCTTATCACAGAAGAATTTTATTTTTCCTTTGATTATGAAGAATAGCTTTGCTAGATATAGCAATCTTGGTTGACAGTTACTTTTTCAGGACTTGGAACACCAGCATTCCAAGTCTTCCTGGCTTTTAGAGACTGTGCTCTGAAATCCAGAGTAATTCTAGTTGGCTTGCCTCTATATGAGATCTGACGTTTTTCTCTTGGAACTTTTAAAATCCTATCCTTGCTCTGTATGTTAGGCATTTTAATTATAATGTGTTTGAGAGAAGTTTTTTTTTCCTTCCTTGTCTAGTTGGGATTCTGAATATAGCCTATATCTAGAAGTTCATCTAATCGTCAAGGTTTAGAAGATTTTCCCGTAATTATTTACCTGAAGAAGTTGTCCTTTCCACTAGCCAGCATCTCACAACTTGCCTCAATTCCAATGAATTAAAAATTCATCTACTAATGTTGTCCCAGATGTCTTGTATATTCTGGTCATAGTTACTTATGTTCTTTAATATTGCCTGAATGTTCAAGCCTGGCCACTTTTATTTTCCAACTCAGATTCTGTCTTCAGCACAGTCTAGTCTATTAGACTTTCACCTGCACATTTGGATCTTTTTTAATATCTCTATGTTCTTAATTTCTCATTCATATCCTGTACTGGCTCCTTAATTCATTCAGTTGTTTTTCTGTGTTCTCTTGGAATTCATTGATCATTTTTATAATTATTCTTTTGAATTCTTTATCTAGAATTTCATCCACTTCAATATCTTTGAGGTCAATTGCTGGTGAACCTTAGCAGGTATTGTATTATCCTGTTTTCCCATATTTCTTATATTCCTGTGTTAGGTTTTAGGCATATGTTTGAATGGATTTTTCTTCCACTCTTACATGTGAGCCTTCTTAAGGCACAGCCTTGCTAAAGCATCCTAGAATGATCTAGATTGAGACCCCCTTCATAAGTGTGGCATCCACAGCCTTTGTGTTACTTCTCCGTTTTTATTGTAGCAGTGGATGTCTATGAGTAGGACCTAAGGGCTTACTCTCATCCCTTTCTACTTGGGGATTGGTCATTAGTTTGGGTTTTTGTTTCTTCTGTTCTTAGTATTAAAGTATAGCTGAAGTTTGAATATTAATATGTATATGAAGCAAGGTATGTGCAACCTTTTGGCTGAGTTTAGTTTAGTTCAGCACCAGAGTCTCTACCCTGTCAATTCCTCATGTCCTTGTAAGTCCTTAGCATCTCACAATATAGGGAGAACAAACAATAGCAATAACCAACAAACAAAATACAGCATTACAATAAGTACCCAGTTCCTAGTATGACATCTATAATATTAATTACCATAACAAAGAGGAATGGAGGAATCAGCAATGCCAACAGAAAAACAATAAATAACCATGAACTAGAGTGAGCATTAAAACAAAGAGCAGGTGTCAACTATGTTATCCACAGCAGTAATTCCAAGAGCATGGATGGTGGGTGCAGGAGTTATATAAACCAGTTCTAACAGATGGTGGAAATACAGTTTATTGAGAGAAAAGAAAATATAATAAAGTAGAAGTGAGTTTACAACATTTAAAAGGGAACACAGAATGCAGAAGAGATGTAGTAGGTGATGGTTATAAAGGAGGGAGGAGAAAAATATGAAAAAAGGGGAGAAAAAGAAGAAAGTTTTGCTGTTAGCAGAGGAAAAAAAGGAAAGGAACCAATAAAAACAAAACCTAAATAAATAAATCAAAACCCCTAACTCTCAAAACACAACATGAGAAAAAATAACTGTTCACAATGACCAAATTATGGCATCAACCCAGATGTCCATCAGCAAATGAATGTATCAAGAAAATGTGGTATATATACACAATGGAGTTCTACTCAGCCATAAAGAGTAAAATAATGGCTTTTTCTGGTACATGGATGGAAATGGAGAAAATCATGCTAAGTGAAATAAGCCAGACTTAGAAAATCAAAAGCCAAAAATTCTCTCTCATTTGTGGAAACTAGACCAAAATAAGGGGGAAGAAGGTGGCAAGAAAGGAGATTGAACATCATAAAGATACATGGCAGATCAGTGTATTGGAAGGGAGAGAATGAGATAGAGGGAAGAAAGAGGGAAAGGAGTATAAATATGGGATAATTATCATGTTTTAATAAAAAATACTAAAAATGAGAAATACGAATATACACAATCAGCACAGCAAGTGTGTGTGTATGCATGCACGCACGCACACACACACGGGTGTGTGGAAAAAAATGATTCTTAATGAAAAATAAAGGAAGTGTTTCCACTGATGTGGTCAAAATGGTCGGCAAGAGACAGAGAATGAGAGACCGCACACAAGCAAATGAATTGCAGCATTCCTCTAATATACCACCTTGAATCTCCACACAATCAAGGGCTGAAGATTCTTAACCTCTTCCTCTTTTTTGTGTTGCTTTCACTGAGCTAGCCATTGGAGTGGCCTAAGTCTGAGGCTCAGGGAAACAGCTCAGCTTCCCTTCTTACCATATAAGATAGGATGCAGTTGGAAGTACTGTTAATTGGAGTTGTCCACACAGATCAGATCAATGCACTCCCAAGACAGGGCTACTGCAGAGTTCAATGAGGGGATTTCCAGGAGCTGGAGTTTAGGTCTATTCAGGCCTTAGGGGCTTTGCTGGGTGGTGTCTGCTCTGCTGGCCATGCTGTTAGGACTTGCTTCTCTCTTTAAGGTCTTGTCTGTTGTTCCATGGTAACCTAGTCCCTCCCACATAGTAGTGAGATAGGAATTTGGAGGTGCAGAAAGCAAAATTAAAAAGTCCAAGTCCCCAAAGAGGAGGGCCCAGGAGCTGTGGGAACGCAGGGATTGCCCATGAACGTTGGAAGTGCAAACATGAACTCCCCAGCAACCCAGCCACGCTCTCAGCCCTTGTCCTAGGTGGTCCACACTCGCCCTTACTTGAAAAAAAGCAACACCAAGTTCAAAACAAAGGCTAGAAAAACTGGTACAAAACTGTGCAACTCAACCCTGACTTCAGTCTTCCTGTCCAGTCCCTAGCTACGGTCCCCAGACCAAGGGATAGCTAGCTGACGCTCCCTTTCCACCAGCAGATCTTGCTCTTTTCACAGAGTAGCTGTAAGGGGTGTATGTGTCAAGGTCACCTCCCCTTCATCCCTTCTGTTAAGGAGATGGCAAGCAGAGCCTACGTGTGGTGATACCCTGGCCTAGATAAGCTGTAGAAATAATTAAAGAGGAACTGGAAGGTCAGAGTAGCCCCCGTTTTCCCTTGAATGTATTCTTGCTTTCCTAAATAAATCTATCTGTAACCTCAAAAAAAAAATAGTGTGATTTCAGAACTTTCAATATCATTAGAGCCAGGGTGAGAAATCTGAACTACAGAGATTTAATCTGTGATATACTAAGTAGGAAGGCAAAGTCAGACCGATGATTACTTTAGAGTGATCCATTAAACTGGCAGGAAATATTGTGTAGTGATACAGAAAGTACGAAGAAACGATGAGAACCTCTGAAAACAGCAAACAGATTTTTAAAATATCATACCACAGCTTAGAATAGAGGATTAAGTTTCTGCACTTCCAGAAAAAGGAAATAACTAGATCAGGAAAATTTTGTGAAATGTTTATAATACTCTTACCCAACCAAAAAAAAAGTTTCAAATTAAAAATTGAACGACATAACTGTGTTTGGACAGTTGGAATCTTACTTCCTCTAAGATTGAGGGAACTAAATAGCAGCTAAGAGTCTAAAGAGAAAAGAACACCATACTAGGAATCAAAAAACAAAACAAAACAAAACAAAAAATCCCAAAGGAATATATGGAAGAAAGCACACAAATTAAACATGAAAAGTAGATTGTAGGTTAAAAAAAATTTTTAAAGGAGGCTGTCAACAAATTAAATAATGTCTAGATCACAAGGTATAAACATTTTACATTGACTCCAGAAATCTGACAACTCAGGTATTAGTAGTATTTTCAGAGGATAAATGAAAATCTAAACCGAAAAAAAAACTTATCATAGGATGGCAAAAAGCAAATTGTGTTATTGGCAATAAAATGTATTCTGATTAAAAATTATCCTTAATCTGTATTTTGATAGCAATTACAAAAAGTCATGACAACTTTTACAAAAGGTAAAATTTTCTTCTGTGTAAGTGTGATGCAGAGTAGTTTAAACTGTGTTGGAGATGTAATACTTAGATGATTTAGTCTGAAAAATAAAGCTGGGGCTCCAATAAGAATGAGCAACAATTGCAGAAGAGTCTTTTCTAAGTTATTTACATCATTTCCTGCAAACCCTTGTAAAGATTTAATGCGTTCATCCAAGAAGTGTTTAAGATGCTACTATGAGTAAAATAGGACATGCAGGAAAACAAAGGCTGAATAAACACAAGCCCTACTCTTTGGTAGCTTAGTTATAGAGGAAAACCAAAAATAACCATTTATAAAAACGAAGAAAGAATTGCTTGGCATGTGTATTCAAAAGGAGAGAATGGGAGGAACCCAAAGAGAAGAGATAGAAACTTCAGGGTTCACTTATTCTACACATGTCTGCATGGGTCAAATACTGATACATCAGAGCTGGGATTAGGGAGAAATATGGATCAAATACTGTTCTATCAGGGCTGGGATTAGGGAGAAATGAGTAAAGAGGATAAGGGGAAACCTACTCTCAGGATTTATACATTCAATCAAAGAATAAGGCATTGCACACATTAAATATGCAGCAATCAACTTTCACTTTATGTAATTAAGTAGGCACCTTATTGGTATGAAGACATCAAAACTCACTGAAAGCTCACCATTTGTTTTTCTTTCAATTCCCAGGAATTAAGTTCCGAAGTCACTGCTTTCCCTGATTTTCTCTGACTTTTCACATTTTTTCTAGGAGAAGGGCTTTTATCACAAATAGCAGTATTCACATCTTTTGACAATATGTATTTCTTCCTATATATCAGAGATTCTTCAATTGTCTTATTTAGAAGAACTGACTTAAAAGTTGTTTCAGATTGAATGTGCCAGTCACTCTGCTTGGTATTTTCAGTATTCTGCTCTGAATACTGTGGATGATTTTGTTGATTGTTTCTTTTGCACAATTCTTCTGCTTTGTATACTTTGTTAGGATCCACTATTTCTTTTGTATATTTTGCATTTTCTGTTTCTTCAGAATCATCATCAGATATAGAAGATGATTTTTGTTTAGTATATTGCTTGTTGATATCAATATCTAATGGAAAGACGAGAAATTAATTCTTAAATAAAATGCATAAATTTATAATATTTTTTAATTTTTTGCAGTAATGGGAATTGAACCCAGGTATGCTCTACTGTTGAGATACATCCCAGTTCCTTTTTTATTTTGAGACAGGGTCTCACTAAATTTCCAAGGCTAGCCTCAAACTTGCAATCTTCCTGCCTTAGCCTATTGAGTAGCTGGGATTATAGGTGTGTGCCATTGTGCCTGGAAATAATTAAAATTTGTTAAAACCCAAAATACTTGTTAGACATCCAAGGAAGTTATTATTTCTTTGTACTACCACCACATGCATACAAAGCTATGTTTCACCTTGATTGAATGTTTCTCCTGAAAAAGTATTGACTCTTTGGTTATCACATAGTTTAATAGTTGTTACAGGTGTCCAACATGCCCATTTGGAGTTCATTTTATTTTCACAGATGTTGTCTAAAACACCAGGCAGCCTAGAAAATAAATTAATTTGCTTAATATATTACTAAAAATTAGCATATGACTCTTAAGACCTTGACTTTTATTTAGTCAATGTTTATTGAAAACAATCTGTTTAAACATGAAAATAATTTCATAAGACATGACAAAAATTAAAATTTATAATTGTCTGATTAAAAATTAGAAAAGTACTACTACTCCAATACTTGAATATCCATCTAAATATATCTCACTTTTCATACATTTTACTGTGTATTTAAACCAAGTTAAATTTTTTCACATTCATACATTACATTTAAAAAATCTCATCCTTTTAAAATCTCTCAACTTGAAAAGAGTTATGTTGGTTAATATGGAAATAAGTATAGACCATTTCCCATTGTGCTATTATAATAACTGAGTAAGATTAATGCTATGACTAATATTACATATTACATTTCTCAAATCTGTTATATTCATCTAAAAATAACATTATATACTAAATGATTTGATGGATTTTCTCATACTTACACAGGTTTATCTATTTTTCCCACTGCCTGTGATTCAGAAACAATGTCCTGGAGTTCATCTAAATAAAACAAAAATGATATTTTCATTTTTCATATAGTTGGGAAGAGTCAAATGAGGGTTAGTGTAGAATTTCATAAAGATCCACAAATTTGGATACTGATCTATCTCTTGCTTCCTCCATCTGAAACCCCAATTTTTATTTATTTATTTGTTAGTTATAGGCGGATACAATGTCTTTATTTTACTTTGTGTGGTGCCGAGGATCAAATCCAGTGTTTCACACATGCTAGGCAAGTGCTCTACCTATGAGCCAAAACCCCAGCCCTCAGGCCCCAATTTAATGGAAACAGAAATTTTCTTCTATTTCTGTGCAACCTCAAAAGTTCCTGGCATATTCCAAAACACACTCATTATAATTTTTTTCTTTTTCAAATCAATGAAAGTTGGTGGGGCTAAATAACTGAACAAGATCAATGCTATAACAAATATTACATTTCTCAAATCTGTTATATTCATCTAAAAATAACAATATATACTACATGATTTGATGGATTTTCTCATTTACACAGGTTTATCTATTGTTGCCACTGCCTGTGATTCAGGAACAATGTCCTGGATTTCATCTCTGTTGTTTATTCATTTAGGTACCAGGAATTGAACCCAGGGGTACTTAACCATTAAGCAATACCCCAAGCTCTTTTTTTTTTTTTCATTTTGAGACAAGGTCTCATAAGTTGCTGAGGCTGGCTTTGAACTTGTGAACTACCTGTGTCAACCTCCCAGGTCATTGGGATGACAGAAATGCTCCACTGTACCCAGCTCTCTCTATATTTTAAAGCAACTTAAACCAAAAAGAACTTACTGAAATTTTGGTTTGGGAATTCAATGTCCTTCTTTTCTGTCTTTTCCGCAACTTTAGCAGTTTTAATATGCTACAAACACAGGACACATATTAATGTAAACTTTAATTAAGACATATGAAAACTTTAAAAACGTCAAGAGTATTAAGATTTGAAAAAGTAAATCTGTCTTGCTATGAAAGTTGGACAGTGCATATATTTCATAAATGTTATGCTCATTCTAGAATATTACCTATTCTGAAACACAAGAAACTACCTTTCATTGCAGACAAGGAGGCAGAAGATCCTACAATTTTTCTAATCCCATCCATAGCTAGAGTAATAATTCTCATCTATTAGTGACAATCTCTAGAACCTCCACGGCAAATCTCCTGTTGTTGCTGATTTCACAGGCTATACCTCTTCTGTCTTTTCACTAAAGTATGTAGAGAACTTGGAAATTATGAAGTATTAAATTATTTTAAAATTTTTGGCCTCTGCCCAGGTAAGTTCTTGTCTACATTAAGCTTTCCTCTTTCCATAGCCACAGAATCACACTTCATGAAGATAAAATTAAAATTTGCTATCACTTTCAGAAAATATACCTAAGATATCCCAAGATATTTTACCTTGCCTTAGCAATCTTTTCTACCTAACTTAGCCAATGATTTTCTATACTTGAAAACAGCTGTAGAAATATGCAGGTACATTTTTGGGTGTCACAGTGAAGAGGGTTCTCCTGAAATATGTAAGTGCAATTCTAGCTACAATATCTATCATTTACAATATTCAGGACCATGGCAAACAATTAAAAAATAATACCTTTATTAAAAAATACTTAGCTCAATAATTTAGGCCATTAGTTTTTACTATTTTTTCTTTCTTCAACTCTTACACTCTTTATTTCCCACAAACACCCATTTAAAGTTTTAAAAAATCCACCAAGTGCTCTTTTTTAAAATTTTAGCATGAAGACTACTATGCTTTGAGAATATTGCTCACATTTTATGAACTAATGTATGTTCATAAATGTATTGTATTCAGTAACAATGATCAAATTCAGTCTTAAATTTAAACTGAACCTTGCCTAACACTTGGAGTTATTCTCAAGTTTCCCCCTTAACTCTTAGGAGCTATTTTTAAATCTTTACTTGTTCCTGACCCCTGCTTCAACAGATCCCAGGAGAAATTTACCATTTTCATACTCCAGAAGAAAATAAAAACCCATTAAGTTCCTCATCTACAAACTTTTCTTTCTCCAAGAAACCATTTTTTTTCCTTATCCATTCCCTATTCCTGTCTCTTCAATAACCTGGAATGAATGCCCTTGTTTTCAATATTCATGGGACTAACTTTTACTGGTACTTCAAAAATTAATTCACCCTCCCTCAATATTTCCTTAAAAGGTCTCTGCTGATTTTCACTCTCTTTTCCAGCTATATTGGTTAGCCTTTTCAATGGCTGTTATGGAAACTTCTATGTACATCTGATGATGCTTACAATGTGTTGTGATTATCTTATTAACCACGAGAGACTTTGAAATACATAAATACAGAGTCCATTTGGATCTCACATTTCTGTACCCACGAAAGCCTTCTCCATAGCAGATGGTAACTTGTATCACAAACTCTTAAATAATAATAGAAAGACCTTTTCTCCTAACAGTGTAAAAGCTGCAATTATAGTGAACAGATGTTAATAAGTCTTATAGCAAGCATAGTAAATGAGTCATACTCTAGAAGAAACCTATTTTAAAGGATAATAAATGATATCTAGAAAAATATACTGGTTATAAAAGAAGTCAGCTCAATATATATTTCTATGATAATCTGAAAACAATTTAAAAAATACCCAAAGAGTACTTACTTTGTCTGCATTATCTCTCCTATTTATTCCTTCTGATGGTCTAGGTTTAAGGGATATAGCATTATCCACTCCATTTTCTGATGCTTTAGAAAGAGCAGCTTTTTCTGCTGAACTTATCATTTGCAGTGGTGGTTTAATTCTTCTTCTTCGTGGTGTTGCTAAAGGAGGACAAAGGATGGTGAGAGTTTTGGTTTTTTTTTTTTTTGTACTGAGGTACTTTTTAGGTGAGAAAGATAAGAAAGGGAGGTTCTTGGAAATCAGTTTTCAAGTTTCCAGTTTAGAAGAGTAAGTGGACATGGATGCCACTTATCAAGAAGTGGAGAAAAAAAATGTCAGAGGGTAAAGTAAGATAGACTTAATTTTGGACTTATTAAGTTTGAGAAATTTGTCATACATTAGGCAATTGCCCAGCAGATTTGGGGAATGGAAAGTCAATATTAAATTGTCAGGAAGACAGACTTTGTTTAAAACCATTAGCACAAAGTATTAGTTTTTTCTAAATTTATAACTCTTGGTATATGCCAAACATTGTCTAAATATTTAATAAATATTCCTTTTTGAATGATGATCTTTATTTAATCTTCCAATCTTGATGAGACAGTCACTTTGATTCTGTATCACAAAAAAGACAGTGGTTCTAAATTTAGCTAGAAAATAATCTTACAAAATACACACTGGGGTACAGGAAGAGCCAAACAGTATGATTAATTCAACATATTAACCATTATGTTATGCTGCCTCCTGTTTAGATTATGATAAATTATTAATGCTGGATATTAATATTTTGAAAAATGTTTATATCTCAATGCTCATTATATCTTTCTTCCCACTAGAAGACATTTGCGATTCATATTTTTATCAATTTTATGTCTCTTCAGGAAAATGATGTCAAAATTTCCCAGAATTAAATATTTTCTCCTTTGAAATATAATACTTGTTAAAAAATCTTTTCAGATTATAAAACTTACATGTGTTGATTAAAAGTACTGGACTTCTCACAGTGTATCTATCTGCACCAGGAACAATCATTGATGCTTCAGACATTTTTCTTTTGCTAGGAGTAGTTATCTTAAACCATGAGAAACAACCACATTAAACATACACTCTCTCTGAAATTAAATATCCTACAATTTTACTCATAACATGCATACGATGCTTTTTAAAAATAAGACAATATTCAGAAATTTCTGTGTTTCAGGCTGACCACAAGGTTTTATCCATATTTGGTATTGCATAAGTAATCAAAACAAATCAGAAATACTGTTTAATATTTATTAAATATCTAGATGTATACAATATAGTGCCTTCATGTACAAACTGAAAATATTTTACTGATTTTAAGTTTATCTAGCTAACCATTGACTTGCAATTTCCTCTTCTATTTTTTGAGGATTATGTTTGTACTTATGTACGTACTTATGTAAAATTATTTTTAAATGCTTTCATAATGTTAAGCATTCTTTAAAACTTTCACACAATTTTGAAACTGGAATTAATAATCTGTGGAAACCAAAATGTCTTTGAAATAAGCCACTATAGGAATTTAGAGATTTGGTGGCATGTAGGAGAGGCTTCAACAAGGATTTGTATTTTTCTACATCATCCCAGAGTGAATGATTTATAAGAGTACCAGAAGTAGATAAGCAAAAGTGGGGACTACAGGGATTCAGAGTTTCTGAGGGCACCACATAAAGTAACATACCATACAGAAGCATAGGACAGCTGTTTTTTTCTTTCTTTTTTTCAAGGAACAGTCCCTTAAATCAGAGGGGAAAATAAACCATGGAGCAGGGAATAGGTAAATATGTGGGATGTGGGGTAAGTGTAGAAAATACAGGAGGAAAAGGAATTTTAATATTAACCAGAAAAGCAGCTTTGAAACCAGTAGATTCTTCTTAAATTACTGTTTTTGTGATATATTGAATGAGAACTGAAATATTGATATAGTGAACTTATATACTGAAGAAATAATAGATGTCATTTTTCATTTAGTTGAAGACATAACACCACAGCAGAAAGTACTGAGTAACAAACATGCAAAAATGTATAGAAAAGCCTGTGGAGAGTCATAATCGACTAAAGATAAGATTAATAAAATCTGAAATAGAAAAAAAGTTTCAAGAAAGAAAAATGAACTAAGACTTGCAAATATAAGTATGTTTTAGATGAGTAAAGTTTTTTTTTTTTAAAAAAAGGAACAAACGATGTGATTGCAGGTCTACAGAACTAAATCAAAATCTATCGAGTCAGTGAGATAAAAGTTTTTTGAGCAAAAGAGTGCTGTCAGAACACAGTTAACAACAAATTCACTAGCATAGCAGGGATAGCTTAGAGGATGAAGCAATAGTGTCAACAACCAATTAGGAGGCTACGACGTTAACCTAGGTGTACTGAGGTGAGTAACAGAAGGAAGGAAGGATGTGAGAGACAGTACGAAAGGACAGTCATCACCATCTTGGCTCTAGATATACGGGGAAAAGATGCCAGCATCAAGGCTATCTCCAGAAGAATTAACAGTAGTGTTATTGAGGTGTGGAGGCAGATATGATTTGAGCAAAAATTAAGATTAGACTTTAGAAATGACTTGAAGATAGAGACAAGAGGAAATCTTAGAACAAAGAATATAGATGCACTGACAGAACTTTGAGGACAAGTCTGGACATAATTTAAAAGCTTAAATTATGTGTATGAAAGAAGCTCTGCAAGGAAGCCGTAAAATGTTTAGAACACTGGGTAGGTAGTAAGCTTTTAGAGAAAAACCTATAAAAAGGTGGATGGGAGAGAAAGTTTCTTTGATGGAGCAGAAGTAGGAAAAGAATTAGAGTGCTAATTCCATAGTAAACCTTCTAACTCCTAACCCTACACATATACATAATCAACCAAAATATTATCTTCTTGTGTTTGCATTTGCAAAACGTGGGAGGAAACTGAATTGTCATTTATCAAGGCCAATAATATATAAATGCAAGCTAGGGGGTTTTTCTGTACTTATTATAACAATGATTTGACTTATGCAGTTCTATAAACAACTATTTTGACACCATATTTACCTCGAGCTGACTATTTTTCCCATTTCCTTGGTTACTATTTTTGATGTATTTTGGAGGCTCAGCAAATTCCTTTTGAGGATTAGATTTTTCTTTTAAACTACTAAGTTCTTCTTCTACTGGTGAGAACTGACTTTCTGGCACTAGAATCTTGGTAGAGAATGTAGAAAAAACTGTTTTAAAACTGTAACCCATAAAGTAATAAAATTTTAATAAATCTACTCACCTCACATTTACAAATGTCAGCTCTTTCCCTCTTTTATCCATATACCAATTTTTACAAAGTGACTCAATTAAATATTCATTTGTAAACAAGTTTTGCCTTTAGTGGAAGAACATATACTTCTAATTTACAAAGTTACTAAAAGTGGTGTTTATCAATAATGCTGTAATCTTTGTAATGAAATTATCATTAGTAACTTTATACAAATCACATACATTTTATTAGAGTTCCATTTATATTGAGATAATATGTGTTTTTTTAGATATTCACCCATTGTCAACTTTATTGCTATTATTGTTTACTCTTCAACTTTGCCCAGTGATAAAAATAAATTAAGTCAGAGATATACCTGTGATCCACTTGCATCAAAAAGTATATGCACAGATGTTTTGGCAACTGAAATACCTTGTTTTCTGGCAAATTCCTAAAATTCAATTCAAAGTAATGTCATTTTCTTTCCATTTAATACAATTACTTCCTATCTATATTCTTTCAAATTACCAAAATTTCCTTTTCTCATATATACAAATACCCTTCCTCAGAACACTTCAATTACTTCCTAGTAACCTTGTCTTACCATTTTGTTCCCTCTACAAGGGTTCCTCACCAATATATCCTATTATCTTTCAACATAAATCTTCTGCACTATCTAAACTTTTCAACAGGATATCTCCCCCAATTCATTTAAGATGAATTGTCACCTTAAATTCTCATTAAATAATATTTGGCTAAAAATGTCTTCCACAATCCTGGAAAGCATCTTATCCAAATCCTTCTCTTTAACTCTGAAGCCCATTCAAGGCCCATCTCCACAATAACGCCTTACCTTCAAACCTCTTATGATCATTCTCTTTCTTCAGTTTCCATATATATAATTCATTTTCCCTAGACTAATTACTTACTTCTTCTGAGGTATCATTGGTACAATTCTTAAAATGCTTAATATCTTGAAGTGCTTTGTTTCATTTTACTTTTAAACACATGGTAGGAATTCAATAATATTCTAAGCAGTTGCTGCTAATTCTGTCATCTGAGACATTTTCTAATAGACATCTCAAAGGATATTAGGTGATGGCTATTCCACAGTACAATTTTAAAGAACTACATATCATTTTAAGAAATGTAGAATGGAAAAAAATAGCAATGGAACTTTTAGCCCTAAACTGGGTTTCCAGAATTATGAACATAATAAATAATTAAAGAGTTTAAAAACTTACCCTATATTTATCAGCACCAAAAATTTTTTGAGTCACATTAGTGATTTCCAATGATACATCAAAATACAAAAGCAATTCCTTCCCTTCTCTTTTACCAATTTTAACTATATTTTTCAGAATTACAGTCAGTAGCTTCTTTGATTCTATCACTGCAAACAAATCACAATTTATATTAATTTCTATATCACTCTAAGTATACTATAAAAAAGAAAAACATACAGCATATTAATTTAAATTAATTCAATCAAACTTAAAACTTCTAAAACTGAAAAAGTGTTTAATCAATTCTGGCACTACCTATCTATGTAAATAAGTCAATTTATCTTTCAGTGTCATAGTGTCCTAGATCTATAAATTACTTGGTAGTGTCATAACTAATGAAATAGAGCATAGAATAGTTCTGGACTCTAAGAAACTCTTTTTAAAAAATATTTATTTTTTAGTTTTAGGTGGACACAATATCTTTATTTTTATGTGGTGCTGAGAATTGAACCCAGTGCTTCACGCATGCTAGCCGAGCGCACTACCACTTGAGCCACATCCTCAGCCTCCTTTAAGAAATTCTTAACAGATCCAACATGGCGGCGGGTGGAGAGGCAGCGTTTTCAATA